GCAACAAGCCCCAGATATAATTTCTGATAGTTTGTGAGTATGGATATGAAATTATTGCCAGTGAGAACATTTCAATGTCATCTACATTTTCACTTGGATGTTTTTCAGTCCCCAAATTGGTAACCTTGGGGTAGCCAATGGGATGCTGGTGGTATGATAGCATATTAAGAAATGTTGGGGTTTTCCAACATGTTCTATTTTAAGTATAGTTATGATTATTAGACTTTTTATTATATCACTCACACAGGGTTTCTTGTTGCAAGGACACCCTTAGGAGAAACACATTATTAAGGGAGCAGAGCAATACTAAATGAATGGTGCTCAGTGACAGGTTGACAGAAGTCTATCATAGCAGGTGTTAAACTATAATATAATTTGTATTTGTATAAAGTAAAAAGAATTTAAACACACTCCTATCAGTCGATAAAATTTGAAGTTATACCTCTCATATAGCTCTTCGGGTAACCAAAATTATCTTTTTTGGAAAATGTCATAATGCTTTTTAAAAAAGAACGAATCTGTAATTCTAAAGTAAAACTTTAAAAAAACAATATAGAACAATTTATTTTACAAAGGAGGCAATAAAGTAAAAATTGTTTCAAGTAAAGAAACATGAAGGAGGTTTGTAATAGTGTAGGACTGTCCTACTTTGGACACATCATGAGAAGGCAGGATTCTTTGGAAAAAACAATGATGCTGGGAAAAACAGAAGGCAGCAGGAAAAGAGGAAGAACAAGTAGGTGGATTGACTGCATAAAAGAAGCCATAGGCAGGAGTCTACAGGAGCTGAGCAGGGCTGCCGAGGACAGGACACTGTGGACATCACTCATTCAGAGTCGCCAGGAGTCAGAGCCAACTCAAGGGCAAGTAACAAATCACATAAGACCCAGTATCTTCTCAGTACGTGTGCTGAGCTGCTTGAAGGAGAGCCCTGAAACAAGTACTACTTTATACCAATTGTGGCAGAAAAGTACGGGGGGGAAGTCTGCACTAATAGCTGCACTAACAGCCAATTATCAAAAATGTAGATAACAAGAATCATAAAAAATTTAACAGATTAATGCCCACTTGATTAGGTTAGCATTAGCAGGAAGGCATCATTTCAAAGGTGTGGCCAAGAGGGCAAATGCTTCCCTTAAGAATATGGAAAGGAGCTTTAAGTGATAAACAGGGTAGCACCGAAGAAAATCAGGATGAATAAATTGTGTATTGAATACTGCATAAGGAATGCAGGTTATCTACATTTCCTACTTGAATCCCACAGAAATGAGGAAATCTAATTATTTTCAGCTAAATTGCATTGGCATTTTTATAGCACCCTCCAATGAATGAGCAGTTTGGCCCCGGAAGAATGTAACCTATGTACTAGCTCCCTATTTTTAAGGGCCTTTGCTACCTGTATGATGAATCCGAGAGAAGGTAGATGAAGCAAATTCAAAGGGGAACCTCTGTCTCCACTCCTAGTAAAATGCTTAGTAGGAGGCAGGCTGAAATGCATCAAGTTAATATCCTGTGGCCTTTTAGGGCACTGTGGATTGAACTTTTCTATGCTTTTTCTGGTCCCACTGATGCCTGGTTTTACACACCATGAAAGGAAAACATTTTACAAACCAAAAGAAGAGCTATCCCATCTTCTCACTCTAGAGATCAAGAGCGCTCACAATCTGCAGACTCCCTGAGTTGTGGCTCTCTGAGCCTATCTGAGGTCAGGCTCCACACAGTCCGAATGTTTCAACAATCACTGGCCAGCCTGCACTTCCACTTGCAATGGCCTCAAGGTTTTCATTTTTGTTTTAGTTTTGTGTTTCTTTAAACTGCAATTCACAATAGGAAATAACATTTTATATTGTGACCTAGTATACACAGTATATAGAGTATTTAACCAAAACAATATTTTGGGAACAATGTTTGATCTTGCTCCATGCACAGCTCTCTTCTTTTCTATTCCACTTTTTAAATATTCAGGGCTTGAGCTGTTAAATTGATTTCATGGACCACTAATGGGTCAAGACTTATAGTTTGAAAAACAGTGCCCTTGAGGATGTTGGTTGATCTTGAGAAAAGGTAAAAAGTAATGGCCCTGGAACCTGAACAGATTTCTCTGAATGGTGTTGGCTGGCACACAAAACACCCGTCCTACATGGCTACTTCCACTTTCATGGTGTTCAGCACACACCTTCCAACTTCTACCGGCAAACTGACCCAGTACCTTCTCCCAGTCTTCCTTGTACAGGGGCTCTGGCTTGGCCTGAAGGGTCAATGGACGACTGGATAACTAAGGTGCAGAAAAGTCAGCACTGTGTCTCCTCATTGTTTACCAGACAGAAATAGGATGCTCTGTAGAGGATATTTCCATGGGTGCATATGTGTTCACTGGGATAATATCACCGCTACTCCCATCAGAAAAAAAATGAGAGAAATAATTATGATAGAAAAAGTTAAGAAAAATTTCTTACTAATTTGAGGCCACAGGATAGTTGGAATGGATTAGGACTGTAGAGGAGAAAAGGGCCAGGGAAGGGACCAGAAAGTAACTCAGCTGTATATACAGATGATGGGAAAAACCACCCGGTCTCACTTGGGAAGGAGCAGCTGACATTCACACTGTAATAGGGGAGCCTTTGGAGACGTGCACATGTTCTTTGGTTCAGAAAGTATTTTATAGAAGTGAGGAAATCACAAGCTTCTTTTTGTACCAGAAATCAACATTGCTATTTCTAATAATCACAGCTTTCTGGAGAAGAGTTGGCAGGAAACCGAACTCTGCCTTGGGTTTTACACAACAATCATGGACCAGAATATACGCTGGACTAGCATTGAGGTCCTGGAGCCACAGCTGATACATAATACAAAGAAAGAACTGACTTAAAACTCAGGACCTCATTCCATAGCAACTATTAAACAACAAGCTTAACATTCTCAACAAGCTTAAAGAACTCAAACTACCAAACAACAAGGTTAAAGTTTTCAAATAGAAAGACATTAAGTATAGTAAAGTATAATTCAGGGCACTGTTTTCAAATATAATAAGATTATAGACTCTGTAACATTCAAGAAAAAGAATATAGAATCAAATACATAATTGTAAAGTTTTAACGCTAAAAAAGACGATGCATCAGATCTACTGTTTCAATGAGAACAACCTAAGACAATTGAAAAACTACTGCTCTTGACATTGTAGGTCTTTCTACTTTAGGAATAGAAGAAGGGACAGGAGGTACTGACAGGTAGAGGACTGGTGAGAAAGAGTAAGAAAAGACATTTGGAGGTTCCTCTTGGTGAGGGAACAGAAGAGGCGTACTGGCTCTGCAAAGGGTGACAGTTACAGGACCCACTCCTGCTGGCCTCCTGAGGGCACCAGAAGACTCTCTCTGCTAGTCTTTCAGGCTTTTGCCCTTTATCATGGGCCAACCAAGGAGTTATGGGCCTGCATTTTTTTTTTCTGAGAATAAAATCATGAAACTGGAGTAGGTAATGAGGTACTTGGCTAATGGCACTGAATGGAACTCCGGGAGAGCAACACTGCGGAGGAGGACAACCTGCTGGATTTTCTGACTACCTCTGCTCTCAGGTTTAATTCTAATGTCTGCAGAATCGGAAGAGCTCAGCAACAGAGAAAATGTGCCATCAAGGGATCACACAGTATCAGGTGACTTGAAATTTGTCATCTTTCGATTCAATTTATGTTCAGCAAAGAAAAAAAAACACATTCTGGAGGAAACTATAGATAATAAACAATGCATTTTTATAATAAGAGGAAAATCAATAGTAGTGAGTACTAGGATTTGGTCAGGAATACATATAATTACGGTCTGGCATGCTGTTTATTTTAGCTTTTACAACAAAGCAAAGGGTTTGAGGAACCTTAGCAGCATTTCACAAGTCTCTAATCCAAAAAACAGTTTATAACAATTTCATGGCACATACAACATGCATCAAATACTCTGTATTATTTAATAACTAAATAAGATGCTGTATCATTCTTTTCATGGTTCACAATCACACACTCATCTTCTTTCACTTGAGAAAGCCCATTCATATTAAGGTGTTTGAACAAAAACCAAGGGAAAAAACCCATGACCTTATTTTTACTAATGATTTTTGTTCTGATGAGCTATACATTTGAATGATTCTCATTTGAATAACTATAGAGAAAGCAAACTGTAAATTTTCAATCTGTTACCAACAGGACAGGTTCCTGGGTTAGACTGTAGGGTGCATACCTATATTGTGAGAGGGGTTATCTGGTCTGAAGCATAACTCCTATTTAAGATGGTGGGAATTTTGTTTATTTCATCATTACCAGTGAGTAGAAAGTGGGCATTGTTAAGGCTTTAGGAATTTTCCTTTAAAGTGGCAATCTATCAAAAATGTGAGCTGGGTAAACCAAGTAGATCCCATGGAGATGGCTTGAGGAACTATTTCTAAGGCATCAGAGTTATGAGGAGGGCTTTCTCTTTTGGGTTATGACATTCATTTTACAAGCCTTTCTTAAGATGAGGCTTGAAAGGATATTATTCAATCTGTATTATATATAAAAAGATTGTTTTTTATATTCATGCTGTGTATTTGAAGTACAGTTCAAACCCATCCTTTATAAAAATAAGGAAAATAATATCAAAATATTTATCTGTAAAAAGAACTACATGTTTCTAAAGAAATCACCACTAAAGTTCTCTTGATACCACTGAGGCAATGTTTGATTTGATCACTTATTCAGAGAGTTGGAAGTAAGCATGAGAGAAGTTTAAAGTGTAAACTCGGAACATTAATCTTAGCTCCATATGAAGGCTAATTATGGGCAATTTCTCCACCAGTGCAGAGAATCACCTGGAGCAAATATTTAAAAAATGTTTCTCTTATAAAATAATTAGAATTTTAACCCAATGCATGATTCAAGTTAGAAAACCAGAGGAGTTGAAATATTTTAATCACATAGCTGTTTTACCTGATTCTAACTGATACACACACATATATATTTTATGTACTTAAAATTACTTCTGTACTATGGTTCCCAAACAGGTTTAGGAAGGTACACGGTAGAAGCTGTAAGGATTAATTACTGTGTCTTCTGGCAGTGTTCTCCGTCAGAGGGTCGGGGAAGGCTCTCTTGCTTCTTCTAGCTTTGTGAGGATCCACTGTTGTGAGGAAATAAACCAACATATGCTTACTTCTATGAACTTGTAATGAAACTCAAAATGTACTGAATGGAAATATAGAAGTGGGCTTCTCAGTTTAGTTAGGTGTATAATCATAGCCAATAATTCAATTTATCTTATGTAAGAGATCATTTACTCACTTAAATGGCTCAGATGGCTCAGGGTCAATGGCACTGATTTTTATTTAACAGTAAGAATAATGTTGTTTTAAGGTCACTGAACTGGCATGTTCATCTTTAGAATAAGAAAAGTAAAATAAACCATCCTGAGAGAAAGGGTAATTTGGCAGCTGGGCTAACTCAGGCACAGTGTGCAAATTACCTATGCAAAATTCCTTCCAACCTATGCCAATTCTGTCCCACAAACCTTCATCATTCCATATATAGAATTCTTCTGATTAAGAATAATTACATATTCTACAGTGGGTAGGAGTAGCATAGCAACATTCTTGAGCACTTTAGGTGTTCTCATAATATAGTATTTTCTATTTTGAAAAGGTTTGAAATCACAAACATAAAACACATATGTAATGCAAACCTTTCTATCAATAATGTCTATAATCATTGGGCTTGTGTGACTAATAAAAGCCTTGGAGGTGACACTGGGTCATCCCACTATGAAACACTTTGGCAGAGGTATCTGTGCTTCTTTACCTTAAGAAGAACCTAGTGGGAATAGCTCTAAGATGAGGAGAGAAAGAGAACCAAGCTCAGTAGCCTTTTCTGGATGTTTCCAGCAGAGCTGGAAGATTAAAAACAAACCTTCTGGGACAAAAAAACATGGTGACAGAGATTACATGGAAAACGTATTGCAGAGAAACAGAAATAGGTGGTAATGCTCTTCAGCAATGTGAAAGATGGCCTCAAAGTCACACTGTTATCATTCTCTAGTCTGTCTCCCTGTTCCAGGCCACAAACATATCGAGGCTCTAGTCACTTTCTTCCTCTTTCTTTGTAACTTGATCCCTTTCAGTTATCTACTGGTAGTATGCCAGTGTGGCCTTGTATCCCAATGTCTGGATGGAAAATTGCATGGCACATGCTAAATGGTCCGAGGTTCCTAGTTTGGGGCCCAGATGTGAGAGTGAACCAGTAAGTAGTCACACCCAGTCAGGACCAATGCAGTATGAGGGCAGGAGGCCCAGGGATTCAGTAAAGGAGCCTTGTGTTCTTATAAATTTCATGACACAGTGAGTACAATTCAGTATCAGAAATAGCATCTTAGTTTGATTAACAAGGCAGATAATCAGTCTGTAGTCTTCCTTTTTTTGACAGTACACCTCCTTGTCACTGCCATAACCCCTAACGTATGCACAGCGCTTTTCAGCTCACATTATTCATATTTTTCGGCAACTGAGGTTAAACGACTTCCCCAAGGTACCACAGTCAAGAAGGATCAGAACCTGTATTCAGACCTGGATTTTCTGACTACAGGCTTGGCTCCTTCTGCTATGTGTCAGGCTATAGCAATTGTTTGTAAATCACCATAGCTACACAGAGGAGAAATCTACAATGTGGGGTATCTGTTCCTGCTGGAGCTGGTAGATTAGCATTAGAATGAAATAACTTATGTTTGACTTTTTCACAAGTATTACAGTTAGGATTTAAAATCAGATGGCGCCATTTGACACAAAAAACAAGTAGGTGTGTTGAATTCAATCTAATGAAAAGCAGTTTTGGCGAAATATTATCTAGTCACATATATTAAAACAGTCAAAGCAGAAGAACATAATTAAAAACAAACAAAACTTGTCTGCCTTAGCAACAGTCCAGCTTCCAGGACTATGAAAAGCAAAGCTGCTGTTTACAGAAGAGAACCGTTATATTTACCCTAGCATCTTCTGCAGTCTTGAAGTTAATTATTTTTCCAAACTCTTTGGCATGGAATACAGACTTCACCCGTTCCTATAAACAGAATAAGTGACTTCATTAAAAATGAAAAACCAGTTGTAGAAATATGATAAAGAAATGGCATGTAGTTTTAAAAACTGGTGCTTCAAGTGTCCATTTTACACAAATCACACACCTTAAAAAAAAAAAAAAAGCCAAGAATGGGAAATCAAGAAGAATCAAAGACAAATGGAAAAAAGAAAAGACTAAACATTAACACATCCATTATCACTAAACCTAAGTTAAAACGCCTTAGGTGCGATGTTATAGCTAAAGCCATAAAGGGTTTACACAAAGGATGGGAAGGAGGTAAGTTTGGGAGGAGTGCCACTGTTTTTCCCTCCAAAAAACTTTTCGGTGGTTCTTGATATCTGGCCATGGAATAATGATGATTTTAGCTCAAAAATGATATATACATATGTGTGTACATGCATACATACATGCACATGATTATGGGTGTGTGTGCATGTTTGTATGTATCCATGTAACTTCTGACATTTTAAACCACTCATTGAATAAGAATGTAGCTAAGGATCAAAGAAATCAGGGTGGGTCCAAGATCCTATATGACAATCTTCCAAATTTTGCACTCCTTCAGTATTCTGTTTAGTGTCTGTGGGGAGAACTGCCTCATATACATACTAAATATTAGAGGGACAAACAGAAGAAGTGGAATTCTTGAGGAGGAGGTTGGTGTTTAACTGCTATTAACTAAGGGTAGGGTCATAGAAGAGGCAAAGTGGAGGTTTTTACTAGTCTAACAAATCCTATAAGTCATTCCAATATCCATGCAAATAGAGACTCCAAAAGAAATCAGATTCTTTTATTTTTTTAAAAAAGGATGACTACTAATACAATGTCTCAAGAATAGGTAGAAGGGGCGGGGGCGAAATCAAGGAGATAAGAAGTTTATTCTTGGAAAGAGAAAAAAAATATGGGGAAAAAGCCAGGAAAGCAGTATAGGCTAGAACAGAATCTAACAGCCACTCTTCTTTATTTCATAGGTGGCCACAGGGCCTTTCATTTTCTGAATGAATTAGAGAAATTCTCAATGGGAAAAGTTGGTCTAACATCCCCGGAACTAATGTCTGGTCCACTCCCCCCACTCTCTGGACTGAGTGGTAAGATTGGAGAAATGCTCTTCACTGGCTATGTATAGGGAAGGGCAGTTTTGCTCTGGAGGCCAGCCCAGAAGACATTTGCTGCTTCTGTCTGCCTGTGCCCAGTGCCACTACTCCATTAAGTACTTTCTAAATCTCCTCTGGGTAACTATTTCTCACCTTCTCTCACACCAACACTTCAGACAGAGCTAACCCTTCCATCCTGGGATTGATTTAGGAATAAGCAAGTGACCAAAGGTGCCCCAGTGTGAAGCTTTCATTCTGCTGAACTACCAGGATAAAAGCCTGGAACTTCCCTGGCCATCCTGTCATCAAAAAATAGCCAACTCGAGAATGAAGCTGCCACTGAAGAAAGCAGAACCTAGAGATGAGGGTGGTGCAGAAGGGGAGCAGGAAAAAGGAACGGAAGGCAGGGAGAATAATTGCTAATGACATCAGTTGAGCATATCTAAGTTATAAGATATAGACTTAAGACTTTTCACTTTACATGAGTCAATTAAGTCTCTCAAAATCAAAACAAAACAAAAATAACCAAGAAAAAACTTACCTCGGTTGAGTCACAATATTTCCCAACACCGTGCCAAAGGGGCCCTACACATACGTTCTTTTTTATCACATATACCTACTATATTACTATACCTATATACTACTACATCCTACAATGTCTAGTGCAGTGGTCGGCAAACTGCGGCTCGCGAGCCACTTGCGGCTCTTTGGCCCCTTGAGTGTGGCTCTTAGGAGTATCCTAATTAAGTTAATAACAATGTACCTACCTATATAGTTTAAGTTTAAAAAATTTGGCTCTCATAAGAAATTTCAATTGTTGTACTGTTGATATTTGGCTCGCTCTTAGGATCCTAATTAAGTTAATAACAATGTACCTACCTATATAGTTTAAGTTTAAAAAATTTGGCTCTCATAAGAAATTTCAATTGTTGTACTGTTGATATTTGGCTCTGTTGACTAATGAATTTGCCGACCACTGGCAGTGCAATCATTACAACTTACAATGGAGTCTCTATTGATTTCCCAAATGACTAGAAATTCACTGTATTTTACATGAACATCCAATGCCAGGCAACATGCTAGCTGCTGGTAATCAAAACAGAGAAAGCAATGGTCTCTGCCTTTAAGATTATAACTGAATTGGGATAGGAATGGGCTAAGAATATCTATAAAAAGAGAAGGAACTATCAACTATCACCTGTTATTTTGCAAGTGTCCTTTTTGTGAGATTTTCAAGGAAAACTATTCTCCATGGCACAGCTAGGGATTTTGAGGTATGCAAATGATTTTCTCATTTTGGTGTCTTGGACAGCAGTGAGAGGGTAAGGTTCTATTACTGAATATAAAATAAGGACCCGGGAATGTTGTTGTCAATGTAATAGCTTGCAATGTAGCATATTTCTTCTTGGCCTACCTTTCTTTTCTTTAAACCTGCGTAAGACAGCAGGTATAAAGGAAAACCATAGGAAGACAAAGCGACATCTATAAAAGAGAGGAAACTTACAAAAGTAAAGAGGACTATTTCAATGCGCCATGTTCAGTTCCAAGTTTTAAAAAAAAAATCTATTCAACGTACCTTTGCTTCAATTCGCAATCTTCTTCCATGAACAATGAATGGCTCTTTGGTAAACTCATCAAAACTGTACTGCCACTCACATGTAAGCTGTCCAAATGTTCCTTTTGTTACAAACAATACCCCACTGCAAAAAAAAAAAATCACTTTGAAAATCGAGACTCTTATATCCAACAATATAATAATATCAGGATACACATTCTTTTCAAGTGCACACAGAACATTCACTGAGACTATATTCTAGGTCATAAAAAACCCTCATGAATTTAAAAGAACTGAAATCTTATGAAGTCTGTTCTCAGATCATGATGAAACTAGAAACCAATTAACAGAAAAATAAGAATATTTCTAAATGTTTGAAAATTAGCATACTTTTAAATAATCCAGGGGTCAAAATATCTCAAACGAAATTAAAAAAATATTTTTAACTCGATGAGAATGAAAATAGATCATAAGCAAATTTGTGGGCTCCAGCTTAAGCAATATTAGTGGGGAATTTATAGCATAATATACTTACATTAGAAAAAATAAAGTAGATATAAAGTCAAATATATAAGGTACTTTATGAGAAATATAAAATATTTGCAGAACCTATTATCAACCAATATTTTGGGGAACTTTCATGTCATTAATACTTTAGAATAAACACTTTTATTACTCAGGCTCCATGTAATATGTTTACCAACCTACAACAGAAAGAGGCTTTTAAAATTAATTCTTGTTTTCCCTCATTTGGAGGGAAAAAATAAAGCAATGAAAATGCATTCTATAATAATTCTATTTAATCCTCCCTTCAAAGGCTTTTCTTCCCCAATTCTTCCTTCTGGTTGAGACATCAATTGCAGATACAACCAGAGGTTTCTTTAAGTAACATATACATTAAGGCATTGAGATAAAGAAAGAAATATACCTTTTGGTTATCATTAACATATCTGTTTTATTGATCATGACATGGGTAAAATATTTGTATTTTGCAAATCTTCCATTTTCTATTACCTAAAAAAGGTGAGAGAAAAATCAATAATTATTCCTATTGTAATGTAAGAAATCCCTTATGATCTTCTAAAACCATTTCTTAATGGGGTCAAGTCATTAACATATTTATACAGAAAATATATAATCAGAAAACTGAATATTCACAAAATAATTGCTCCTACTTGTTTAAAAGCACCTATGTGCACTGCTTTATTCAAGATTACTCAATTGTAGCTATACCAATCTTTAATGCTGAATTTTTAAAAGAAATCTTAATACCTTACAAACTCAGAGACATAAGTTTACTATTAAACTATCACATTCATTTTATCTTGGGAACTATATTAGTATTTGATCACATCTATACAAAAACACATGTAAACACACATATTTAAATATATGTATCACATAAATTACTATTAACTCTCATCTTGCCCCTTCCCTGGAATTTTCCTACCTGCCTTACATATATGCTTTTCTTTCTCAATCTCACAACTCATCTATATGTCCCTCCAACCATCTGACCAGTCGCTATGATGTGCACTGACCACCAGGGGGCAGACGCTCAATGCAGGAGCTGCTGGCCATTTACAGAGAAACGACACCGCAGAACTGGTGCCAACAAAACAAAACAACACTTGGCTTCCCCCAAGTGGGACACAGGCCCTGCCACCACCCTGGACAGACAGCCCACCAAATCGCAACCAATGCTGCTGAGACCCCATGGCACAAAATGTGGCCCACAGCTCAGCCCAGCCCAGAAATGGTGGCTGAGGGCGCTGGGTAATGATGTCACATAGCAACACCCAGCGTCCTCTCCCTAGTGAGTAGCCTCCTTGGAGTTTCTTCAGCCCAGGAACATGACTTGCTTTATAGCCAGGTGCAAACATTTCAAACTTTAACCAAATGTCTGTGAAGAATTTTCCCATCTCATTTGACCCTCACAGAAGTCCTGGAGTAGGTAGATAGGAGACTCGGTAGAATCCTATTTCCTTTTCATTAGCCGGAAAATGGAGATTTATAAAGTTTAGAAACTTGACCTGACTGAAAAGAAGAAATGGTGGACTTTGAAAATGACTTCAGGTTTTCTCACTGCGCAGAATATAGTCAAACACTGCTGCAGTTAAATATTTTACCCTTTGTTCTCCCTGCATGATCTACAATAATAATCTGCTTTGTGTTGATATTTACTGACAGTTACATGACAGAGAAGTTGGGGTGCTTCACTGGGCTGGAAAAAGTTTAGCTAAATCAGAAAGCAGGTCTAATTAAGCAAGTTTATTCTATATCTATAAAAGGTTAAGTTGACTTGCGCACGCATGATACATAGAAAGCTCTTGCTGGCACCAATCGTACACGAGTGTTTTGACCTGTCATTGTCGAATGTGAATTTGGTTGACACTTCCATTATAAAGGGCAAATAGCAATATTAAAATATTTCTTCTAAATAATTTCCTTTCAATGTGCACAAATCTGTGCACTGGGCCACTGGTTAAAAAATAAGGAGCAGAGTATTTCTGGACACACAGGGAACCCCAGAACCTAGTTAACCTATGCACTGGCCTTTAAGTTTATTTTCAAGACTGATGAAACACTGTCTATCCATGACTTTTTCAACAATACTCTGTTAGAAAATTATGTTCCATGAGGCTATATATATATATATATTTTAAAAAACTAAAAGTATTTAGCCTAGAAGAAAGGTAATGAGTGACTTCTTAATCATCTTGGTAGAGAAGCCTGATAGAATAGTCTTCATTTCTATTGGAGACAGAAGTTAAAACGATGACAAAAAAACAAGCCAAACCAAACCAAACCAAAACAAAAACCCAACTACAACAGCAGGGTGAGGCATACAAATGAATTAAATGGAAAAATTTCTAACTTTAAATTTTATAATGTTGAGGAAAGAACATCTTTACTATTTCTTGTGGTAGGCAGGACAAGTAAACACAAATTTCTTGAATTACAAAAAAAAGGGACACAACCACAGATTCAGAAGAAAGTAATAAGAATTATTAGATCACAAATTATATAAATAAATTTGAAAACAGCTTGGTGTTGGTAGAAGTTATATATAGACATATTATAGAAAGAATACAGATTCCAGAAATTGACCAAAACACACATAGGACTTTATAAAATTCTATCTATACAAATATAGAAATTTATGAAATCAAAATAGCATTTCAAGTTCCTGGGCAAAAGCATGTATTATCAAATAAATGGTGTTTCAGGCAACTAGCTGGCTAAAGTGGGATCCCTACTTCTCTCCATATAATAAATTAATTCCACATGGTTTATTTAAGCATATAAAGCAACAATATAGAGGTACTAAATAAAACATTTTAATGATCTTAAAGTGGGAAAGGCTTAATAAAATACAAAGTTCCTAAAATTTAATGTAAAAGAATTCCTAAGTACATGAAAATTAAGTACTGTTAAATGGCAAAACAATGAGTAAATAAACAGAAATAAAATAACACAAAACCCAAAAAATGTTTGGAAAACATTTTTCAATACAGAGTTATAGAGCTAATTTCATAATGAAGAGAATTCTAGGAATATGAATAAACCAATGTAAAAAAATGAGTAAACTAACAGGAAAATGTGTAAAGTCTATTAACAGGTAGTTCAGCAAAACACAAACAAAATGTGACCAATAAACATATGAGGAAACCCTCAACTAATTTCAAAATAAAAAAATGCAAATCAATTAAATGTACCCTTTGAGTCTCATTTTATGTAAAAGTATCCCAAGATATACATATAGAAATCTTCGTGGCAATATTGTGTTAAAAGCAAAAAACATAAATGTTAATTAATAAGGAACTATTTAAGTAAATTAGAGTATAGTCATATAATGGGACATTATGCAGTAAGGAGAAAAAGGTAGATGTGTGTACAGATATAGAAAAATATGCCATCTTGTGGAAATACTGAGAATGAATGGGGGGAAAGCAGAAACACATACATGTATACTTATTTATTGTGCACAGAAAATTTCTGGAGGGTTGATAGTAACATACCAATCTACTCATTGCACTTATCTCTGGGCTTCCAAAGAATAATAGTGGAGGTAGAAATGAAGCTTTATTTTTAACTTTATATCCTTTTATTTCAGTTTAGTGGTATTTGAAAAGAAATTAGCTTAAAAGTACATACTTTCTTTTGTTTTATATGGCCAAGTTTTAAAAGCAAGAATACAAATGTTGATCTCAAGAATATCAAATGCTACTAAGAGTCAAGAATCTATATAACCCTATTTTAACAAAAATAATGTTATTTCATGACAAATTTTAAAAACTAGCCAAGTTGCTAAATCTTCTTGCTATAATAATGTATATCCATATAGCAATTCAATAAAAAGGTTTCAAGTTTTTAAAAAAGGAATCTATATACCCCATTAAAAGATCTAAACCTTTCAATCAAAAGCTATGGTTCAGCCCTAACTGGTTTGGCTCAGTGGATAGAGCATTGGCCTGCAGATTCAAGGGTCCCAGGTGCAATTCCGGTCAAGGGCATGTACCTTGGTTGCGGGCACATCCCCAGTGGGGAGTGTGCAGGAGGCAGCTGATTGATATTTCTCTCTCATCCATGTTTCTAACTCTCTATCCCTCTCCCTTCTTCTCTGTAAAAAAAAAAAAAAATCAATAAAATACATTTTAAAAAAAATAAATAAAAGCTATGGTTCAACTCTGACCTCAGTAACTAGCTTTTATTTCTTTTTTTAAAAAATTCTTTATTGTTTAAAGTATTACATTAGTCTCCTTTTTCACCCATTGACCTCTCCCTGGCCGCTTCCACCCCCAGCACATGCCCTCACCCCCCTACTGTCTGTGTCCATTAGTTATGCTCATATGCATGCATACAAGTCCTTTGGTTGATCTCTTATTTCAACTTTAGAGGCCTGATGCACGAAATTCATGCACTCGTGTGTGTGTGTGTGGGGGGGGGGTCCCCTCAGCCCGGCCTGCACCCTCTCGCAGTCCAGTACCCCTCAGGGGATCTCTGCCCTGTGGGAGTGCACTGACCATCGGGGGAAAGCTCCTGCGTGAGTGTCTGCCCTCTGGTGGTCAGTGCATGTCATAGAGACCAGTCGTTCCACCATTAGGCTCAGGGTTTCTGGCTGAGTGGGGCTCCCCCTGTGGGAGTGCACTGACCACCAGGGGGCAGCTCCTGCATTGAGCGTCTGCCCCCTGATGGTCAGTGCACATCATAGTGACTGGTTGTTTTGCCATTTGGTCGATTTGCATATTAGCCTTTTATTATATAGGATGGTGTTAAGTTTGGGCACTGCAGTAGAGCCTGCCTCACATCACTTTCCACTTTTCAGACCCAATGTAAATCGAACTAACCTGAGCATATATGCAATCAAACCAATTTCAATAGTCACAACAGCATCTAGTATAAATAAAATTAAAAAGTCCAACGAAGTCGTTCATGTGATGTTTTTCTGGATTCATAAAAAAACTTTACCCACTACACTTGAAAGATGGACATTATAGTCCAGGCTATTCTGAAACACAAAATGAACTGTATTCTTTGTTATTAAAATGGATATATAGGTGTTCAAAAAATGTATTAACACTGTAATAGCTGATAGTTCAATTTTGAAAATGAAATGTATTTTAATAAACACTGCCTTTACTCAAAATATGTGTATACATTTTTTGGGACATCCTATATTTGAATAAATGTCAAAGGTAACTACTTATACAGTAAAATTTTGCTGGTCAGTCTCCATTACAAACATGTGAATATGGAATAAGAACAGCACCGTGAGCAGAAGATAGAACTTCAGAACTAAATCCCATAGAAACATGAGAGAGAATGGCCCCCTCCTGCTGTAGAGTCTACAAATATCATGCTTTGGCAACAATTTCCTGACTTTGTAAATTCCTTGCATATGAGGCTTTATAATTTTCAGAACGTCATTATATATTACTTTATGGGGAAAAAAACAACAGAATTTTAGACCTGAAGGAGTGTTATTGTACATCCAAACCAATCTTTTACACGTGAAGAAATCGAGGATCAGGTAAGTGTCTTATCCATCTAATCCAGTGGTTCTCAACCTGTGGGTCGCAACCCCTTTGGGGGTCGAACGACCCTTTCACAGGGGTCCCCTAAGACCATCGGAAAACACATATATAATTACATATTGTTTTTGTGATCAATCACTATGCTTTAATTATGTTCAATTTGTAACAATGAAATGGGGGGTCACCATAACATGAAGAACTGTATTAAAGGGTCGCAGCATTAGGAAGGTTGAGAACCACTGAAATCTTTATAACAATCTTGTGTAGTTCGTAGAGCTAAGTGACTTGATTGGGGTCATAATGTCAGTTGCAAAAGTGGGCTCAGAAAAGTAGTTTATTTCTAATTCCATTGTATCATGATGTCTCCTCTTATGGTGTCAGTCATGTTTTCCCATGGTACCTCAAAAATACCTTCAATATTCCTGGGTGTGGGGTGTTGCTGAAGCAGACTGCTAAAGCCACTTAGGCTGCCTGTTTGTTTGTTTGTTTGTTTGTTTTAGGTTAACAGGGTCCAAACAGTTTAGAGTTAATATACTACCTTTCTTCATCCCAAACAGATGTTATGTAAGAATTTTACTACTAAAATAATTTGCGATGCCCTTTAAAATAAATGAACTAGCAAAACTCGGGCTAGGAATCACTATGTAGAGCCTTTGCATAAAGACCAAGATTTGGCTGAACTATCAAATGATTTGGCTGAAGTATCAAGTACTAGCCAGTACTTTAGATATGTTAGCCTCATTTAACATGCAATAATGTTAAAGGAAAATCAATTTTTTCCTTATTCATAAAAATATATATGAATTACCTATCATTGTTTAAGAATCTTAAAGAAATAAACAGAGAAACACAAAGGTAACTGCATTCATTACATATAACTGTCAGAATCTGTAGATAACAATTCAAATGTATGGTTATTGCTCAAAGAATCCCTTGTTTTGGATTAGAAAAGATGCATATGTAAACCTTAGTTTATTAGATATAAATACATCCAAACCAAATTGATCACAAGCTTAGAAATGCACACAAAGTAGGAACTTGAAAGATGGTGGTGTCAGGGTTATCCTCTGCTAATATCTGTACTTCCTGTCAGGTATGCCCCAATACTTTAGGAAAGACAACACAAGCTAGAAAGTATTATGCAGAAAACATTTCTAACTCTCAAATCATACAAACACTATGAAGTAGCAGAGTGATACGACAAAAATATTTCTGGAAAACAAAGTAAAATATGAATAGATAGATATTAGGAACAAACCACTAACATGGAAGGCTTAAAATCCCAAACAATATCAAGTTGTCCTTCAGTATCCACAGGGGATTGGTTCCAGGACCACCTCCCTACTACCAACACACAAAAATCTGGCAGTGCTCAAGCCCCGTATCTGTGGGGTCTACATCCAATGAGTCAATTCAGTGTGGTTGGTGGAACCACCAGATACAAAGGGCTCACTGTGAAGTGCTAATATTAGTGGGAAATTTATTTAATAAAATTGGATAAAGGAGAAGAGGACATAGTTTGGCTAAAAACAAAACAAAATTTGATTAATAAGTAAGTTTTTAAAGATCATGGGGGATAAAAGAAAAATGAAATCCATCTAGATGAAAGATAAAGAATGCTATCAAGCAAGAAAATCTACTGAGCAACAAATAAATGATTTTATAGATTGGTTAATTTAATATTCAGGAGATTATGGATAAAGAGAAAAAGTTAGGAATAGATTATACCAAAAAATTAAACTTACTTTTAAAAAACAACAGAATTCAGGGAAGTAATTACAAATTAATATAGTAAGTGCTACTATTTCTTAATTGTTTAAGAAGTAGTCAACTTCTTCAAGACAATCTTATCTTTAGAGAAAAATGTAATCAATAAGTATAACTTCCTTAGAGTTAGTGATTAAAGGTTATGGATAAAAATGGTTTACCAACTCACTTCAAATGTGAAAGACTTTGAAGACCATAGCCAGGGAAAACAGGCATTCAACCAAGCTCCATGATCAACTAGTAGAAATCCATTGCCTCAAAGCTCAATGATTTCATATATATAACAGCATAAATGTAAACAAGAGTGAAAAGTGATATTTAGCTTATTCCATGAGGCAAGTTGGTTAAAAATAACAACAAACAAATCTCATTGACTGTCATCAAATCTGAAGAGGAATTAGCCCTTAATTACTCCCCCATACCTTTGTCTCTTCCCATGCTAATGAATTATTTCATTTGGCAACCAAACTATTATCTATATTGACAGTTTAGACAGGGCAGGAAAGCCGAGCACAACTCTGTGACATAAAATTAAATAAAATAAACGATTCCTTAACAAATGTGAACTGTCATCAACTAGTCAACTAAAACAGTCTGGAGAAAGGGGAAAATTATGTTCTTGAGGTAATTATGTGCACTGACAACAATAAACCATTAATTAACCTACCTAATATGTTCTAGAAAAAGGGCCAAGAGGTGAGTTAGAAATAATAATGTAAGTGAATAGTTACAAGAGTCTCTCTAATGAACCTCTATGAGCATCATTTATGACACATGATACTAAATATACTTGAAAATAACAGTATTTCTTATAAAATACTATATAACTTGGAGAAGTCCAAATAACTGAGGTTTTATTTATTTTATTGCTCATCAATTAGTGTGTGAAGTTGTCCTGGTATTTTAACTAAAGTATTCTATTAACCTTGAAAGGAAAAAGGATAATATTTAAATTACTTTTATCTTGATGAAGAGGAGACAAATGAGGAATATAGATTTACACAATGATGACCAAGAATTAGCATCAACTGGTATTCATCAGGAATAACAAAAACATAATGAGTTCTTATTAGACACTGTATTAATAATTATATACATTACTTCGCTTGTTTTAATTTCAGCACCACCACCAACGTACTCTTATCTTGGTGTTATGTATCTCAACGTCAGGAGACTGTTAACTACAATAATTAATTCTATCTTACAGTCTGGAAACCAAGGTCAGGCAAGCATAATAAAATATTAAGCTAATAAAAGGAAAGGTTGGAATTGAACTCAAGTTTACTTGGTTCCAGAATCCAGGCCTTGAGCCACAGGTTATTGCTGCAACTTAGATAATTTTACTGTCGAGATAAGCACAGAAGAAATGTATATATTCCAGTAAATGCAGTGGGATTCCATTTTTACAACTCATTGAAATATGGGTTCAGATATCTCACGAGCTGTATCTTGTCCCTGGCAATGCTTCAATTTCATTTAATATGTAGAGATCACTATCTCTTTGGACGATTGGGCATATTTTATGTGTCTTTTGATTCCTACAGTTCCTCAGAGCCTCACATGAAACAGCTAATCAACAACTGGAAATGAGATCGTTAAGATCCAACATTACAGGGTTGGACCCTTAACATGGCATGTGTTATATTCCCAGTCACCAGAATAATACAGCTCAGTATGATTATAATCTCATGAGACGAGCAGGAATTTAGACTACTCTCTTCAGGACTGTAATCTTAAGATCTAGAAGAGT